TCTTGTCGTCTGAAAAAATCCTGTCAGACCGAAGTCCTAACCTGTCAACTAACGTCCACACTACGCCCTCTCCAGCGACTAAACCAAATATGAACTTTCTACTAGATCAATTTACTCTCTAAATTAACACCGATATTACCAGCTATTAATAGCGCCGGCTCCACTCCCTAACGATTGTAGGAGGACAACCTCTCTTGTACAAGGTGTGCTCAAGTGTATTGTTCGCCCTCAACCACTTTCACTTACACTAATAGAATATCAAAATCGAATTTATGAAGCATTAGGTGTTCGTTGATACCGAGGCGAGCACTCCAGGTACAAACGTACATGTTTGTAGAACGCTTAGGACTCGTCATTTTTCAAGAACGGCATTTTTACAAAGAGGTTTTTCGTGTCTACGAAGATAATAACATGTGTGCACTCCTATTATATAGAAATTTGAAAACGCTGTCTGTTTTCATTTCTCGGTACACACATAACCGACTGTATGATGAGGTTTGAATGAGCACTTTTGTGTGTGTTATGACAGGATAGACATGTACAGTTCAAATCTAGGACAGAGCTAACATCGAGATCATTCATAAAATATACCGCTGATCAGCGGATGAAAGCGCTCCGACTGGAGTCCTTTGTGCGGGACCTGGTAGATAATTATTCCGACACAAAGGACCATGTGGGGAGCCGGACAAAGGAACGGTACCTCATTACGTAACACCTTGTACCGTCCCTGTCACCTATGGGCAGGTGAAGCCAGGTGCGCAGCACATCAGCGCATCCTGAACCTTAACAACTATCTCTTCTGTTTTACAACTTTAATTAAAACTAGGATGTACTAGCCTCCTCGATTAAAGGCAATGTGTACCGACACAGTGATTTTAGAAAGGGGGGTATTTCGTACGAAAAGCAGACTATGAATATATCTAACTTATCATATAACGATTAATGTTTTCTAGTAACAAACGGCGACAAATATGAAAAAATGTCTTTACAGGTGTAGAAAGTTTTGAAATTGTGTCATAAGTTGTTTGTGTCATATTTTGCATATGCTGATATCTATTTTGAATATCTACAAAAACGATAAGTCACAAATTATGCATTTGGTCTCTTACATAGCGTTTGCGTCGTTCTATCCAGATGTTCCCTTCAGTACCGTTGTGTCTACTGGTGACATATGAAGAAGAATTGCCCACTTAACCTTGACCCTAACTTCAGTAACTTCAGTGTTTAATGAAGTAGTAATAAAGGGTGTTTTCATAGACTAACAATGTAAGACAATCTGTTTACATCTGCAAGATTTATGTATGGTCCCACATGTTATGTCCATCCTAGCGTCCATAACTTATGCACTTTGATATTATTTTTCATAACGATTTTAATGTAAGATCGACTGAGGACAACGTTCGGTCATTTATCTTTAGGGTGGGGCAGTTTTTTTACAGCAACATTTTAAAACACACCTGGTTGAGTAAAAGCTTCGTGCCGTTCGCCAACGACTTGTAAAAGTGACTCTAGGTAAGGAATAGACATACTTACAACGTTGGATCGAGGTAAAAGGGTTCCTTGCGCAGCTCAATAGCCCACTCTGCTATTGCAAATATTTGTTTAATGTGGAACACACACATGTACATGCACACACCTATGAAGCTCACTCACTCAATCCAATGAAACTACAGTGCAGAAATTATATGCGATTCTTTATTGCCTCGACAGAAGTACAGAGACTTTCGTATGGTCTACTACAACTAAGAGACAGAGCAAAACTATATACATGAATAAAGTCATCCTACTTACAGAATATATATAGAATATAGTCTTATTATCCATATCTAAAATCATCAAACAATGTCTGTCTTTTTCGTGCTATGCTGTTATTGGATTGTTACCACATGAATAGATTCTGTACATCTTTTACGTCACCTTGAGTGACTTTACTATTACTAGTATCTTTTTAATGATTACAATTCTACTTCAATTGTCTGGTATATTGGTGTTGATAGCAATATGGGATATATTAATACCGTAATAGGTGTATTTTATTAAATATTAGATTTCTTGAGAATATTACGAATGCTTGAATGATAACAATTCTATTCCTATTGTCTGACATATTGGTGTTGCCAACGTAACAGTATGGGATACATTTGTACAGTAATAGGTTTATTTTATTTTCAAATTTTTTAGACTAATGTTACGAATATGTCCCACGCACCACACGGTACTATAATCCAGCAGGTGAGGCAGATTCACTCAGGTGAGAATAAACAAACTCACAATCAAACCACCTGGAAAAAATCGGCTTTACGTGTTTCACCGCAGGACATTTCATTACAAAGTAACATTTCTTTTCTTTCTGCTTATAGTTTTTTATTTAAATCCCAAACTCACGAAATCACTTCAAATTAGGAAGACAGCGTGGCTCCAGATATGTGTCGGTGGAAACAACTATCTTTGAACTTTGCAAACATGAAAGGTTATCATCGTACAATGCCTGTTTAGAAAATTACCACCAAACCAAACATTACATGTACGGAAGTGGGTTAATACGGATTAGGTGCATATCTGTGGTCCACGTATCCTGCGGTCCGGTCCACGTATCATATCATATAAACCTGTGGCTTATACCTGTGGGTCGGCCACGTATGAAGTGTTATTCGATTTGAGGACTTTATACCACAATTATGGGCTCAGGTCGCTAAGCCGGTGGCGGCTTAGTACCGTAAGCTAGCCTGATTATATGGGATACCTTGACATTATAATACGTGTCACAAACCCCTCCACGCCGACACGACATGTCCTGGGTTCGTGGGACTCACAGCCGAGCTCTGAAAGCCTTCGAGGATTTGTTTGCGATCTTATCCGTCCGTTCTCTCCTTCCTTACATCATTCATTCACTCACTCACTCACTCACTCACTCACTCACTCACTGATGACGAAAATATGAATCCACAATAATAAAAGAACTAAGCTTCAGATGATGTAGGTTCTTCGAATGTTTTTTATGTGATGAAGTGGGCGGAGGTTCGAACCCCGCTCGTACACGGTGCGCTGGGTTGCAGTAGTATTTTCGGATGGGGACGTAAAGCCGGTGGCTCACTGTCACTATAGCGTCAGCCTAAGGTATCACACTGCACGTAAAAGAACCCAACACACGTATCGAAAGGAATATAGGTGACCTGATGTGCTTGGCCATATAACACACGCTAACTAGTAACTACTTGAAAAGATTTAAAGTGTTTTAATTTTTGGTGCAAAAAGAATGTTGCATAATGCCCCTTTAAGAAGACCACCGGACTAGAGGTCAGAGACCAGAAGTTCATTACCCCCTGTCTGCATGAAACCGGGACGATTCGTCTTGACGTCTGATATGAATCAGTAATTCAACAGAACCCTTTCTTCAATGTTTACCTTCTGACAATACCGCTTAGCTGTAGCGCGTCGCACAAGACAAAAGTCCCAGACACACCATGTCAGCTCCGATTATTCCGTAGGTTATTTTTAGGTCGAAATGTCTTCATTTAGCTTTGAGAGTTTTATTTTTAGCACATTTTAAAATATTTTAGAATGTAATTACAGTTTTGATTATACACGAGTCAGCAGTGTTAGACATGAAGTGCAATGTTACATATAGACATACCCCCCATTACGGAGCTTGAGTATATAGAAACTAGGCGATACTTGGTGTCAATTTTCTATTGTTGCTATGTTTGCTATCCTCTCGTTTTGTCTCATTGTTGTATCTCTCTTCGCGTCTATTAACCTATAGTTCCTGCAGTGTTGGTTTTTCTTGTGTCGAGTGTTTGTCGTGATTTTGTCCGTCTTTGTTTGGTCTGTGTGGATGGGACATTATATCGCGTCATTTAACTGTTCCCCCTTATCGGATCTGCTAACCTTTGTCGCACCATCAATTATTGAAATTATCCATGATTGATTGTATTTACTCGCCATTGATTTACGACGAGTAAGTATTTATTGGCCGAATCTGGGCCGTAAATTAGAAACAAGGACTGCGATTACATGACCCATTTCTCTTATCATTTGAATAAATCAATCCAAGAATATAGAATAACTTTATGCCTATCTGCTATTACCTTGGTACGTGGTCGTAATGAAAGAAAATAGATATTAACACGTGCAGCAATACAATAATTATTATAATGTACAATCTTTTTTTCAATTTTTTTCTTGAAAGATAGTAACGCCTAATTAAAAATCGCCTGATAACAGTACTAATTTGTTTCTTTAGATTTATAATATTGGCATATATTAAGTTGTTTAAAAGTAATTTTTCTTTCGTAAAATCATTAACACACAGTGGTTAGTACATAACGTCCTAGGTATTCTTTCATGTTTGAATTATAACATATTTTAGGAAAATGAGGGTATTGACCTGTATTATATTGTATCATATGCTTCATACAAAACGGACAAATTGTGACAGATAGAATCCATAAGTCTAATTATTTAAGTGGTTTTAGTGTATATTATTGGCAATTCTTTTGCCAAAACTCTAATTTACTATTAGCAGGGGTTGCCTTCTTTTAGGAGTTTTCTGACGTCATGATGACGTCACTGAAAGGATTAGTTCATGGTGTTGGTGACATGTCACTATTGAGGCTTAAGTATTAAGACTTGTCTACCAATTATGAAAACCCTTAATTGTATCCGCACACCACCCTGTTATAGCGCCACGTTAAAGTTCTTGTCATTGTCATGAAAGGTCAAAATTAGAATAAAACAAGAACAATGCGTTAACTTAGTTCAAACAAAGTCCATTTGGGATTTTTTTGTCTGGAAGCAAGAAAAATGTTTCAAGAATCTAAAAGAATAGAATAGAATAGAACAAAATAGAATTAAAAAAGAAATAGAATAGAACTTAGAACTTAACACAGAAATAAAATTGTGTACTAGTATTCTAACATTTGGTATATCTGTTATCATGTTTAATCTTATATTGTGTCCAAAACCTGAATTCTTATCTTCATCTTCATTCTTTGCTTCAGAACTGATGGCAATGACGTCACTCAACGGTCAACCAATCAGATGAGAGATTGCATGTACCGGCATTTTTGACTCCGGCAAGGAACTTCATACGTAAGTTGATATATATCCTATATACAAATATGCTCCTTGCACCCTATAATAAAAGCAATTTTCCCTAGCTGATAAAGTAATATTTTATATCCTCTGATACAGCGACCATTGGCAACCGAAACTCTCAGTAGTACTTCAAAGAATTTTATTGATAAATAAGTGTATTTTGTTTGTGCTGTATGTTATGTTGTCTTCCAAGTCATATACATCATGGATAATATCCCAAGCAATAAACCATACGCCGCTGAATTATGGAAACGGGGCCTAGAATTGTACACGAATCAAAAGAAGGGAAAAGTGGATAGACATTTTGTTTTGTGGAGAAGTTGAACTTTTTTCAGTCTCCGTTGGCCTACAAACCGGTTTCTCCGCCTCTTCTTTCCGGATTTTTTTCTGACAGAGCAGAGACATTGTCCTTGGACAGAGAAAAAACCCTTCCATCTTATACCTGGTAGCTCCACGGTAATCTGGCATGTCAAATGACATTTTGTTTTGTGGAGAAGTTGAACTTTTTTTCAGTCTCCGTTGTCCTGCAAACCGGTTTCTCCGCCTCTCCTTTCCGGATTTTTTTTCTGACAGAGAAAAAACCCTTCCATCTTATACCTGGGGTAGCTCCACGGTAATCTGGCATGTCAAATGACGGGTCTACCCGTCCCTACCCCCGCAGGCGCGGATCTGGCGGGCCGTTGTTCCCGTCTACCAGGTAATCTCCGCGGGTTCACAAGTTCGCCGCGTCGCGGATTTCACCCAAAGCTGGTGGAAAATAAATGCGCTTCTGCCATTTTTTTGGATTTGTTCGAGTCTAGAAGGATCTAGGTACCAAATTTGGAATATTTGACGTTACCGAATGGAACTAGACAGTCTAACGTCTAGTTTAAAGTCTAGAAGTTAGATTTTTGTCCAAATGTGGAAATAATTTTACTACGGTGATATCTGAAAGTTGGCACATCTTACTGTAATTTGCTAGTATCTTGTAGGCTGTGAGCGAACTGATTGAAATTTACCGCCATGTTTTTTGAAACTGATATCTAGTCTTAATTCCATGACGAAAGCATGCCCTAATCCTGCCAATTTCTGCGAGTATAATTTGACATAATTGCGCTTTATGTACAGCTCCAAGTCAATAGCGTTATCCCTAAATTGTTGGTTGGTTGTCTGGAGCGGCGGCGGGCGGGTGTTTGGGGTAATTCCTGGGGAGTTACGCGGTGTGGCGTGTGCGTTACTTATCGCAGCTCCCCCCAGGCCCACAATTACAGCCTTGATACAGCGATTGCATATCTGTGCCTACAGTTGAACGTGACTTCCATACAGCCTGATATACAGTATTGGCACTAAATATCTTCAACCTGTATCGTAGGGCAATGCTCAATGTTAGAGACAATGCATTCACCATAACGTGTCTTCTTATATAATTATGTTCTTTTAAAAGTATATTCAGTCGCTAAATATGTTATGATATATATAGGGAAACGTCTAACGTTAGAGACAATTTATACACCATAAAGATGTCTTCTTTATAACTATATAATTATGTCCTTTAAAAAGTATATTCAGTCACTAAATCTGCATCATATGTATATATGTATATATATAGGGAAACGTTAGAGACAATGTCTAACGTGTTTTCTATATGATTATGTATTTTTGAAAGTATATTCAGTCACTAAATTTATATAATATATATAAGTAAACGTCCAAAGTTAGAGAGAAGGTATGCACCATAATGTATTTTCTATATGATTTTTTTCCGAACAGAATTTTCAGTCACCAAATCAGCATCATAACTGTTCAACGGTAGAGACATTGTCTTCACCGTAATGTGTTTTTGCATCTTATTGAAAACACAGTATAGTCTAAAGTGATTATTATGTTTTACTACTAAAAGACATATAGGTCTATGTGGGAAGCAGCAGTCACAAAATTATTTTTCATATCTAGCTACAAAATGCTAATGAACGCTGACGTTGCCAATTTTGATATATAAAATATGATTATCTAAAAATTTCGTAAATATTTCAACATTTCGTAAATATCATTAAGAACATGATAATATCTTAAGTGTGTATCTTAAATGAGTTAAAATGAAATTTACAGTATGAATAAGCACAAATTTCAGAAGACTTGTGTATACAGTAGCGTGCTCTTTGTTTGACGTTCTCGCGTATTTCCCCTAACATTCCGTTCTGTCACCAGAACATTGAAATTTACGCCTGAAATCCCGCGTAAGGCTCCAGCATCGTGCCCAAGTTGACTCACAAAATGTTGTGTTTGCGTTCCACCATATTCGTCATTAAGTGCCAGTAAAGACAATATTATGTTTGGTCTAGTCGTGGAGAGATGTATGACAGTGTTGAGTGAGTTAGGCCACACCAAGTCATTTTTATGGAGGACGTCCGCACGCGCATTGATTTTGGACTGTTCCCAGAAAAAAACAAGAAATTCCGCTTCCTGTAATCTATGACCAAAGAGTCACGACAGTGGGATAAGAGAAGATGTGATGAAAGAAGTGAAACAGGACAGGACGACAACTGCTGTTGCGCTGATTTATTGCTTTTTTCATGACGAATGAAAGACTTGTTGGTTGTTACACTGTGTTCTCTCATTCAATTTGTGTCCTAACATTTGTCGTCTCTTAGTATATTTCAAATCTCTCTCATATTTTTAGGTCCCTCTTGTTTTTTCGCGCTCTCGCATTAGATTTAGTGTCTCCAGAGGACGTCATCCATAAAAATGACTTGGCGTGGCCTTATCCCAGATCTGGCGCTCGTGAAATCACAGTCACGTTCTCAGGACGGGGTTACCCTGTGAAAAAGATGGTGTGTATCGTTCGTGGAAGCCTCAATTTATTCCCCCTGTCACACGGCACGATTAAATGTTATTAGCGTGGCCAGCTATCGCTCCGATCCGCCTTGGCTCTCTGGAAATGAGGTATAAATTGGATTAGATAAAGCTAGTTCGAACTGCGGTGCCCTGGTCCCCTGAGATCTCTCCGCGCCCAGCGCCGATTTAAAACGAACGAGAATTGAGAAATCACTTAGCGGAATAAGCGGGCTGGGTCGTCCCAAGGCTCGGCTCAGATGGGGGAATGATTTGACATCTAGCGATGCCGGGAGTGCCTTTGGGCCATGCAATCCTCCACCTAATACCTAACACTACACACACTGCACTCAGAATATACGGGAACTATATCTGCAAGCAATGTTTCTAACGTAACCGAAGCAATTATTTAAAATACGGCACCGTTTTCAATCCATAGTCGGAGGCATTTACAAGATCAATGTCATGCCTCAAGGTCACGGGAACTTATAGTAACTACTGGATTGGGTCAAATGTGAAGATGGCTTTAAGAATAGAATTCTCATAATATCATCTATAAGTAGCTAGTCGATCCAAAAATAGCACCGAATTCGCCTCCATGCATTACGACTCAAAATGATCGATCCACTGTTAATATATTAAAGCACTTTAAGGCAAATACAGGACTGGGTCAAATGTAAATATGACTTTCAGAATAGGATTCTTATAATATCATACAGATAGCATCCATAAGTAGCTAGTCGATACGAAAATAGCAGCAAATTCGCCCCCATGCATTACAGGGTATAAATGATCGACCCACTGTTAATTTCTTTTTATCACAATGTAATGGGCTCTTAATTTAAGCGTAGTTATCACTATTGATTTTAATCAACGTAAATGATAACAGTAAGATGAGATATTATCTTATCTGTTACCACGTAAAAATAATCTAAAAAACTTTTTTTGTCTATCACACCTCATAAATTGAGTAGTCGTAGGTCATCACAGAGAATATAAACGAAGAAAATCTTGCCTCTCAAATAGTGTCAGATTTGAAGCCGTCTACAGCAAGCTTTGCCGGCTTTCCCGTCACATTTATATTCCCGGCAGTTCCCGCTGTTATAATAACGTTTTCAACTTGGCTAAACCTGGTGAATGGCTGCGCGAATCTTACTCGCCCTGACAAGCCCATTATAAAATGAAATGCATACCCTCTTAACAATTGACATCCCAGATCCGCGTAGCAAATCCCACAGAACGATCGCTAGGATGGTTTCTCTCGGGGGTATCAAAAACGTAGGCAGAAATATGAAAGATTGTCAAAACATGAAACGGCTAAAACTGGCGCCATCCACACCTGTTTCCATCATAAACTGGAAACAAAACCTGAACCAATGGCCAATTCGTGTTTTTTTTCCTTGGCCTTAAATACCTTATTAAAAAGCGGAAGAGGATATCAAAAAAACGTAGGCAGAAATATGAAAGATTGTCAAAACATGAAATGGCTAAAACTGGCGCCATCTACACCTGTTTCGATAACAAACAATACATGCATAATCGAAACAAAATCTCACTAGCCAATCCGTTTTTTTTCTTTGACGTATCATTCCTTACCAAAACGTACTACGCAGAAATATGAAAAATTGTCAAAACATGAAACGGCTAAAACTGGTGCCATCCACACCTGTTTCGATAAGAAACAATACATGCATATTATTAGAAACAAAACTAGCCAATTCGTTCATTTCTTTGACGTACTATTCCTTACCAAGAGGATATAGTTGGTTGCGTGCTGATGAAGACTCTGTGTTTTATTAACGTTAAGTGAAACAGACACGTACGAGAAATGAACAGCAGTTGACGAAATAATCAATTACGGCGTGTGCGGAGCGGGTACCGGGCGGCACGTAGCGGCTGGGCGGGATGAAAGAGCCAAGCCGCCCGGAAAAATCGATCGCAGCACGGCTGGTCAGAGTGAGCCTATATACGGGCTGGCGTCGCTACGGATAGGAAACATCATAGTCAGCATGGTACTCCTGTTTTAGAAACATCGTAAAATTCATATTGGTAATGTTGTATCTTAGTATTATCTCTTAAAGATGATATGAAATATCATGGTATGATAGTCTTGTTTTCATTTTGGTACAAATGTTGTATCTATCTCGTCTAATTTGATCCCTTAGTCTGATTGTTCGACTGTT